AGGGTTTTCGTGCTTTCGACCAAAAATCCTCCCAAACATAAACGACACACCCCGCGCGGCGGCAGACGCGTGCTTCCTTGTTCTTGTTCTTGTTCTTGTTGTTGTTGTTGTTCTTGTTGTTGTTGTTGTCGTGGTTGTTGTTGTTGTTGTTGTTGATGTTGTTGGTGGTGGTGCTAGTGGTAGTGTTGTTTCGTGTTGCCGCTCTCATTGGTGTTCCCTTTGTTCGTGTTGTTTGTTCTCGTTGTTATCGCTGCTGTTTGTGTTGCTCACTGTTCTTGCTGCAATTGCTGCTGTGATTGATGTTACTATCATGTTATTCTTATAGTTATTGTTGTTGGTGGTGCAGGTGGTGCTGATGGTGGGCTTGTGTTACTGTGCTTACTGCCGCTGCTGTTGTTGTTGGGGTGGTGTTCTCATTGATGAGCAGGATATTGTTGATGAAGATGCTCAGCACATGGAAACGGAGCTTGGGAAGAAGAGGAGGAAGATGAGGTCAGCAACCAAGCGAACCAAGCGAAAAATCAGAAATAGAAAGCAAGAGATGGCAACCACCTAAGGGCCGCCTTCGCTGCCTTTCTTGAATCAGCTGGGTCCAGAGATGCGGCCGGCGAAGCCGTCTACGCCGCGATTTTTGCCGCCAGCCTGCTTGTGGTCCCACCAGCGTGAGCATGTATGTGTGTGTATGTGTGTGTGTGTGTGTGCGTCGATGTGCCTAGGCTTAGATCTCCATGCGCCAGGGATTACCGAACAGATGTCTGTGCTGCACTACCCATTAAGAATCCAGCAAGCGGAACCGTTGTTGACAGGCAGCAAACGTGTTTCCTCGAAATCTGCGCAAGAACTAATGGCCCGAAGGGTGACAGCCGGAAAGGCTTGCGCAGGGAAGTTGACAAAGGCTTGCCATGCTTGTGCCTTTTTACCCCAACAGAGAGCGCAGTCCCACACGGTTGAGGTGCGACTTGTATTTTGCGGCTCGAGGGTTGGTGCAATTCATATTTTGTGCATCCTGTATTGCATGTAGCTTGCTGTCTCGCTGTTCGCGCGAGATGTTGCGTCCAGAGTCCAGACCTATAGCTACCTAGTTAGTTACCTAGTTTACATGCTGATTTTCCAGAAATCTGCGTGTGCTCAAAAAACAGCTAGTGTCAGAGGACATGATTAGAGATGGCAGAGCAACGCCTGATCAGCATTACCCACACTATAAGCCCGAACTCCTCACCTCTCAACGGAGCAAGTCATGAGCAATCAGGGTCCCTTTTGGGGTCCCTTTTGTTGTATATAAGGGTGCCGTATTATATTGGGGACCGACAAAGGCACCATAATTTAGAGAGTTACCTGTTTCCATGCCGAGGATGCAGCTCCGGAGTTGCAAACCCTTTTCAAGCCACTTGACGTCGCAGCAGTTGGGTCATACACTTGCCAATGGCCTTCGACCTGCGTCCAACTGCCCCAGAGGTCCTGTTCCCCGCTCTGTAATTCTAATATTATAGTATGTATATATATATGCATATATACACACATGTCAGTGTGTACATATGTATGTATCCATGTATGTATGTATGTATGTATGTATGCATGGCTGTGGATCTGGTTCTCCCATTACCTCGCCTGCCCTGCCGAGTGCGAGTGCTAAAATGTATGTATGTATGTATGTATGTATGTTTGCATACATACTGTTCAGAATTCAGGCCTACCCTATGGAACTCATCGTGGTCTCCTGCCACTAGTCAGTGCAACCTAAATACTCCGTGAGAAACCCCAAACGAGAAGGGCACAGCTCGTGGCTTTCTGTTTATTCTCATAAAGCCCCACATGCATCTTCGCATCACCGTTCGATATCGTGCTTCGGTCGATATAGTGCATCGTTTTCTGCCATGTGCGCCTGTCCCTGTCATCGTTTTTTCAGATGTTGGGCGCAAGTTGGGGCAACCTGTTCCGGGAGTGTTCGACCGAATCGCGAGGCTGTTGTTGGGGTCCTTGCGGTTTACCAAGCATTGACCAGCAGAATCCCACTCAGTCTGACGAGTTTCCCACAGAAGCCTACAAACCCTGCGCTTCATCATTTCCACTGCGTGCGAAGCCTACACATCTAGATGCTTCAGCCCCCCCGACTTGAACAAGCAGCATCTAGAGAAACATCTAGAATCTAGGATCTAAGAATCCAGGTTATATTGCCTCTCATATCAAGGCATGCCATGTGACTGGGGCATCTTCTTCTAGCCATCTTAGACACTGAACCTCGAAAACCTTGTTGAAATGATGCCCGCGAACAGTGTAACGTGGAGCTGTTAAGGCGGAGTCCGAGCCCTACTCTTCCCTGAACCTGCAACACCCCCAAACCCGACGCAAACCCACACACTTAACCCGGTAAACTCTGAAGGTTCAGAGATCCCGTGCGGAGAAAGGGGCCATTGAAGGCACATTAACAACAAACCTGTAAACTCTGAAGGACCCCGCGGTCTGTGATGGCGATGCGCTTTATCAACGGGCTGAGTCAGCTAGTCGGCGAGCTCACAGATCCCCCTGCCTTGAAGGCTGGTCGCTACCCTCAAAGAGAAGGACGCACTGCATGTTTTAGGGGTTTAGGTTTCAACGCGACGAGCTGTGGGGATACTGGACGGGCGAGCTCCAACCAAGCCTGTGTAAAAGGGTGTCTCGGGTTCCCCCGCGAGTGCACGTACATTCGTACGTACGTACATACATACTTACATACACAGACATTTGCGTCACAACCATGTGCAAGCACCGTACATGCATGCCACATCCTTGTTGCATCATATCTCGCTGGAAGCTCAAAGGAGCCTGCAGCCGGAAACTACACAAACTATAGCAATAGCATGCACCAGGATAAGTGTAGTAGCTGTAACTACAGTAACTCCGGAACCCGAAACCTTAACCCCTGCCTTGTGATTCGCTCAGCCAGATAGGCAAAACAAAACGTCCTGGAAGCAACGCCCTGAGCCCTAGTAAACCCCACAGCTTTTGAAGCAAAACCCTTTTGAACCCAGTAAGAGGTAAAAAAAAAAAACCTATAGAGCCCCTATAGAAAGCCTTGAATCCCTGAATCCTGAAACTGTGCACAGACGGTGACGGAGACCTTGGGCTTTCAACACCTGGACATCGAGCCTTGGAGTGCAGCGCCTTGAGGTTCACGGAGGTTCACACTTTAGGGGCTTCGGGGTTAGGATCAGGATCTCCCCTTCCCTCACAAGCCTGCCTGCAAGCAGAAAGACAGAAGGAGAGAGATACAGAGACAGAGAGAGAGAGAGATATTTCACAAGAGAGAACAAGCCTCCCAAGCCCTGCTGAAGAAGAGAGAGGGAGAGGGAGAGAGACGGACTTTGCCAGGGGACACAGAGATCTTGGAATTGGGGATCGTGGTTGACGACCCAAAACTGTAGCTCCAGATTGTTGTTGGTGGTTGTGTGTGTCATGGTTGAAGGAGTACTGTGGTGATTGTCATGATTATCGCCCCCCCATGTACTGTTGTTACTATTCCTGGATATGTTCACATCAACCTTCCTCAGTAGGTAATATGACGACTATGTCCTCATCACTACTGAAAGTTGCCAGCATCATCAGTTTGGCATTGCCGTGGCCTCCACCGAGACCCCAAAGCGCCTAAACCCTGAACATCCTCCGAGTCTGAGTGCCTTTACACCGAGGATGTCACGACCCCTAGAGCCGGAATCTTCCGCAACGCCATCCTTGAGCTCTTCGAGCAGGAGCTTGGTGCCAACTTCGGTGGCAAGGCCTCTTTGTTACCTGGGACTTACTCAGGGGTTTAGAGCTTATAGAGTTAAATCGGCGAACCGGCGCTCCACGTGCTTCATGCACAGCTCAGGATTAGGGCTTCAGGGTTTTTTTCTGTTTTTGGGGTTTAGAGTTGCAACATTGTAAGGATTCGATTGAGTTTCGACGGTCCCCAAGATCTTGGTGGCTCAGGTACCGAGGTCGGCAAGACCTGTTCTGCTGCATCCGCTCAACGGCTAGACTCATGCTTCATGCGTTTCCATGGAGTTCTTGTGTTGCAGGACTGCCTTGACTGACTGCCCATATCCCCGTCTCCAATTGACGCGCTCTCCAGCCCTCTGGGAATAAGCGCTTCGAAAACGGCCCTTAACCTTGTAGAGAGACCGGGACCCTTAACCCTAAGCTGTTCGACAGGCGAAGGCTGGATTACAAGCGCTCATGAACTATGTCGGGGGCGCCATAATCTACGTCCGGCGCGAGTTCTCGGAGCGCTTCAATACCCTTCGGGTCAGCTGGATCGCAGCACTTGGCCTGCAGACGGTCTCCTTAGTTCTACAGTTCTACCAGGTCTACGATACAGAACCTTCAGTTTAGAAAGGTACATGTTGGGAGTCCCAGTCTACAGCCTTATAGCCCTGCACTCTAAGCCTCTTGTTTTGTTGGGTGTAGGCTGAGGAGAAGTGAGGCTCCTCCTTGTAGTGGTGTCGAGGCTCAGTGGTTGCCACCGATCTGCTTTGTGTTTGCTTCGTGTCTCCGTCTCCAATCAAGCTGAACCTTGCTGATCAGGGTCAAGCGACTTGCGTTTTAAGTATCATACAGCAGCTTTTGTTGGCAAGCCTTTCAGATGCTAAGCTTTCACATCAAGATTGAGCCAAGACCATGGGTTAAACCCTAAACGAGACCTGTCGCCGGAATCCGTGCCTGCCTTGTGCGAGCGCGCGAGTCGAAACCGTAAGCGCGAAGCGCCTTTAATCGGACTTAATTCAACCTTCGTCCTTCCTGACACGAGGTTTCTTGCATCCTCGCTTGGTCGTAGTAGAAACATGACATGCCGCACGCGGTTGGGATACAGGTCTTGTGCACTGAAAGCCCAGAAAGACCGCTAGCAAAGCCTCGTGGTAGCGGAGCGGGAGCAACGATGAGTTAGCTCTCAGACAGGGCCATGGTTTCTATGATCCCAACACCCAATGTGCTTGAGCTTCCAGCTGCTACCGAGGCCAGCCATGCCCGCAACCTGGCATCACAGATTGACTGGGACGTTGTCAGTTTTAAGGTGCGTACCTTGAAGCGGTGTTCATCGGCTCTTCGTAGTCCAAGGAGGACTAACCGGTCCGCCCCATGCCTCCCTCGGACTTGGGCCGCAGAGACACGATGTGCATACGTGCATACCTGCACCGGTCTGTATTATTCATGTGCCCAGGCATGCATGTATGGATGGATGGATGGATGGATGGACGAATGAAGTACATGTAGACACATATTTACGTACATAAACCGTATGCATTTGTCAGATGTAGTCGCAGTATTGAACAGTTCTGTCCAACGAAACTACGTGTTATTGGAAATTTTGAAGCTTGCAAAGCGTCTTTTGGTTTTGCGCTCGAAACCTTCGCCTAGTTTCCCGTGGCTGTTTTTCAGGACGGGAACCTAAGAACGTATGTGGCAAACCTCAATATGTTGAAACTTAGACTCTATACCTCTCATTTGTGCAATATCTTACTGGCCATGTGCACGTCGGCTGGCCGGGCCGCGCTAAGTAATGCCAGGACTCAATAAACTACGGAGACCCTCTGAATCCAGGACGTGGTTGATGCCTTGCCGAGTTCACCAAGGTGTAATCGAGATTCCAAGCTCGAAGAGGTACCAGAAAGCCTATCCCTGGATCCCATAAAGTTCATAAAGTGCTAACGCAAGCCTGGGCATCCCAGCGCTCGGGGGCCAAAGCCAAGTGGGGCAGTGGTGTGTGCAACCCTTTGACACCATGAACAGGAACACTGCTGCGAGATAGTAATGGTGTTCACCCTAAACCCGAAAAAAAAAACAAAAGAAAACCTGAACCGTTACCTGCTAGGCCTGACCGATGAAGACGAGCAGCTGGCACGTCCAGAGGCTCTCCAGAGTTCATCTGCCGTGCAGTGTGTCGAAAGAGTCTACGACAGACAGCAACAGTAACAGCGAAACCTTTTGCCATGCAAATTACACCCCCTATGCCGAGCTCAGAGTATATTTTCACTCGTTCCGTTGGTGTTGGAGAGAGGTCGAGGTTGTAAGACAGCGACATGTCTGATGCAGATTTACAGTGTCGTCTCCTGGAAACTGCTATTTATCTTTTCGCGGCTCCTTTACTTCGCAATCGCATCGCGTGAATGCGCGGCTTTTGGCCATTTAGGCGGCGATGAAGCTCAGCTTAGCCAGGCTCCGAAAATCGCAGGACATCACGTATGGTTTGGGAGGCTCAATCTGCCTTTTAAAGCGATAATTACTCACGACTGAAGGAACTCGTTCATCATCGCACTGGTCGAGAGACAGTGGCCGGAAGCAGTCGTGTCTCGTTGGCTACTAATGCCACGTTGCGGTGATACTGCCGCCGTGCTTGATCCCTCTTCTCGACAATCCTTCTAAAATCAGCGCCCTAGAACAATACAGCCCGCAACATTACCCCTATAGCCGGAACCATACGACCTTTAAACTTTAAACCTTGAAGCATGCGCCCAAAGCCAAACGTGTCGTTGCAGGGAGCCGGCGATGAGGCCCGACGCCGGGATTGGTCTGATGAATGGGGCGGCGACAACACAACGTAATGTCCCCCTGGAGTCGTGTAGAACCTCCACAGTCTTACTTTAATTGTTAAGCCATGAACTAGTGGCTGCTTCGAGGAAGCCGTGGCCATCCATGGCTTTCAAGCTATGGGGCACTTCTTTGGTGTTATGTGGCACTGTGTTGAATTTGTCGTGCTAGGCACGCTGCTTAGTTCGGGATTCGGGACACGGGTCTTTTTTCGTCCTCGTGATTGTGCTCGGGAATCGGCCGGAGTGCTTTTTCCGGAGTGAATTGTATGTTTTTTTCATATTCCTTGCTGCCAATGGTCACTTCATTCAGCAGAGGGTAAACTGAGGCCGGCCGGGAAGACTGGCTTTCGGGGTCCGAGGAGCCCCAATACAGCCCCGTAACGCCCGAAACCTCTCATCAAACTCGAAGCACCTTAAACCTCCGAACCGAAAGCTGTACGCTATCCTACACCCCCTAAGTGACACTGGCAAGCCAGCCATCCTGGTGTACGTCCTGCCATGGTCTACTATCCCGCCAAGCCCGGAATGCCGCAAAGCGCAGGCGGAAGATGGTGCGGAAAACCAGCCAGGCTCATGAGTCCCAAACGGCCGTGGGGTTTCGGTTTAAGGTTCAAAGCTGGGGGGGTGTAGACGCTAAGGGCCTAAACCCTAAGCATTAAACTGTAATTAAAGCCTCGCCCAGGCATGTCCGAGTGTGAGCTCTGAAACTGTAATTGCGGCCCTATAGTAGGAGCACGACAGATCCAAAAACTTACGAAATCCGACTGACAACCGAACGCACAACCAGCCACTAGTTGTCGTTCCGTGTTCCTGGCTCCAACACCGTGTGAACTGCACCGGAGCCTTGCCAAGTCCCCACATAGAACAACAACCGCGCGCTCGTTGTTGCAAAGTTTCTCCCAGATCTCGAAAGCCCCTCCAAATGAAAATGGTAACCCTTTCATACATGTGCTTCCGGTGCTGCAGGCTCGGCCAGTTTTGTGTTAAAGGATGTTATAAGGAGAGCCTTTAAGGCGTAGCGTACACTGAGTACATGTTCGTTCAAGGAGGCCTCCAGGGTTCAGGGTGCTTCCCTGATATCGGCCCTCCACGCCCGAACTTTGTATTGCATCTTCACATGTCTGCCCCCTGTCCTTGCATCCCTAAGCCCACGCCGGCCAAACCCTCATATCAAACCACGGTGACAATAGCACATATCTTTCACAATCCGAACTGTAAACCTCAAGCCTAATTTGGGGGTTATGGGCAAGGGCCTGTTGGATGCAGCTCGATGTTCTCACCAGCACCGAAACCTCAGTCTTCCAAGAAAGTGAGTCTCGCTGCAACCCACTGCCGGCTAGCCACCACAGCCCTCAAGCTCCGAAGCTGCAGCACATCCAAGTTTGTTTAAACGGTTGGAAAGCCTAGTGTTTCCAAGGCTGGAAAGCCCGGGCTATCCGTCGCCAACAGCTTTGACTTTTGGGTATAATGCTCTTCTTATACTCAAAGCGATCCCTTGAGGTGAGCAGCAAGTCGCTGCCCGAGCCACTGACCAGGCGAATCGGGGAGTGTTCGCCCAACGGTTTACGGCTTCAAGCTTCGGGCTCAAGTAGGACGTGGTTATAGTTCGACTTCACGACATGTGGTCCTCGCAGTTTTTGTCTACAATGTATTTCGTTTGACACCAAGTGTTCAGACTGTGAGCCTGCTTACTTTTTCTTGCCTTCATAAGTTACGATCAACACTTTTCTACTTAGCCTTATAGGCATTACAACCATTCGTATTTCCTCCGTGTTGTTGCATTTGAGCTGCCTCGCCTACATCCAACAGATCCGGGAACCCTAAACCCTGCAAAGCACTTGCACTGTGTTGCTTCCCGATGTGATTTACATGAAGCCACCTGCAGATCTTGCTTGGACTCAATAGCCTGAGACGAGCGCCCTAACCGAACTCTAACTTCTGAGCCAAGGACTTTGGTTTAGGGTGTAGTGTCGTTCATTGAAACTGTTGCACTGCGCGGTGAGTTACCCCGATGGTAGGTACGAGTTCTCCAATCCACGGGTTGACACCATCTCTGGGGCATTGGAATTTGTAAGCTCAGAGCCTCATCGCAGAAGTGAAAAAATCCCCAATCCAAAGCTTGTTGCTACCCCCTGACAGGCCAAGGACAACAAAACCGAGGTGCCCGGCTCGAAGACAAGTGCACAACAAGCTGTAGTGATAGTAGAGACACGGACACATAGCGATGTGTCTATCTATCCACCCATTGCATCCATGTGTCTGTGCTCCTCTGCACAAGAAAACAACAAAAAACATTTCTGTTTTCCTATCCAGCTGTCTAGCCGTGGTTTTCCGTTCACGAATCTACATTTTTCGCGTAACATTTCGGCTTCGCTGCTGGAGGAGAACGACAAGAAGCCCGTGTCGAAAGGCATGGCTGGAACCAAAGTGCCGCAAAACTTCAATGATGCTGGGCTGCAGCTTTTCAAGGGTTAGAGAGCCCTTTTCGCAAATCGCGCCAGCACACTCTTAAGCATCGTTCAGCGCAGCATCTGGAGGCTGTTGCATAGCTGATGGATGCTGATGGCACCGGCAGGAGTTCCATCACGACATACCAGTCAGAACAACCAACCATGAGGATACCCTCTCCAAGCCTACCGTCCCAAATGCTGTGGAATCTCCTGCGCAAGACCCATTTCTTCTGCCCCCGCGTCAGGAAATGTTCACCTTCAACGCCGCAGTCATGGGCTTTTCGAACAGCCTGGCTTGGATGAATCCCGCGCCACGGACGTAAAAGCAGACTAGCGGTCGTGGTAGTATGACCATCTCAACCTGTCGTACGAGTATCAGACACCAGCTCAGACGACAAGGATGAAACTTCGATGAAGCCGCCAGGCATCACTGCAATCCATGTTGCAATGCGGCTGTCATGAACTTCACCGGTGATCGGCTGCTGATAGCATATTTTGTCAACAAAACATGACGCACATCGACAGCGCAGCTTGACCCATGACATGCACTCCTCCCGTCTTCATGACCTCGCTTCAGCCACTACTGCACCACTAGCAGGTGCTCGATCAGTTCGAGGCGATGGTCATGTCCTTTGGCGTGCCTACAGTTCTAGGGATGTCTAGCGTTTGGGGAGTGGTTAAAGCCTAGGATTGGTTTTCGTCTTCTGCTGTTTTTGTAGATCAACTGTAGATTCTAAAGGATCCTCTCCCCGAGAACTGCTTTAAAACAGCTTTGTAGCACGCAGATTGGCAACCTGTTGATTGTCGGTTTTGGGGGATACTAGGGTTTTGGGGATGTAAGTTGTCGGTCCATACCAGGGCCGATGTGAGTCCCGAAAATCAACGTCATCGCAGCGCATGTATCGTACCATGAGCACGATGTTGACAAGAAGTTTCCGTGTATGTAACACATGTATGCATGCATGTCTGTATGTGGATGTGCTCGCATGGCCCTAAGCCCTAAGCTAAGAGTTTCCTACACAGGCAGGCCCGACTAGTCCGCAAGTAGAAGGAAGCGTGCAGCCGTGCAGCACGGTGACTTTTATGAGGGGCAGGGATTTGCTGTACATTGCTGTACCTCCTCGCAGCAATGGTGGGATATTTAATTCGTAAGCTGTTGCTAACTGTTTCCTCGATGTCGCTAAGATAGCCAGCAAGTCAGGAATTCTCAACTTTTAAAAGTTGTTGCCTCACTTCTAAGGAATGCAGCGAATTCGTACAGACTACAGGAGGAGTGCGATGTACTGTCCCTGGTACTGGTGAAGTACAAGGAGCCACGCGAAAGTGCTCAGCGGCTTCCGGCACATCAACACTACAGATTGGGCAGGATTTCTACCGTAGATCCGAAATCCTGAGCTGCTTTGTGGGTGTGTGCTACGTCCTGAACCGCTTTGCCATTGAAGGTTGAGGGCTCAACAGTTTGACGATGAATTCGAACAGTGGGTGGTTTCATAGTCTCTGAATCAAGGGCCACTATCGCAAAGGTGCGGCGAGCGGGCGTTGCACCTTTGCCGAAGAGACTGCTGTGTGCCTAGGGGATGTTGCAAGTGGCCTGCGGAAGGCTGGTGAGAAATCTCGGGTTGCTAAGGCTTCCACTGCTCAGAGATTCTGAAATTTTCCTGACCATGCAGGAGACCATCATCTACTCGGAGTTTAAGGCTTCATGATGCGCTCCAGGGGAGTGTCTTACATAACCGACGGCGGCACAGTTGTATTGAGGGGCGGTTCATGTTCGCAAGCCCGCGAGGAATGATCGGAACTCCGCCAGGGATTTACGGTTTGGCTACATAGACTTCTTTGACGTCTCCAGAATTGGCCGATGCTCTTCAAAACCTCAGCTGCAGAAGCACTAAGCTTTCGGGCTTAAGTGGCTTGATACTGTCAGAGGTGCCGTGTAGTTGCAAGCAGGGGGTTTAAGAAACTCTGGTGGTCGTGCATTCAATGCTTCAGAAATGAGCCGAGGTCTGCATGCAGCAGCAACACATGTTCTCGCTTCTAAACCAGCTGCTGGTTGGTTTGCTCCGACGGGTGAACTTCCTGCATCTTCCCTCTAACTTCACGAGCAGTCACGTCCCTGCAAGCCTCATACATGCCTTACTGACCCTAGTCCTACTCTATCCAAATCTTTGCGTTGAGACATCGTGAGGCCGTCATGCTGGCATCACTGCGCTCTCTGGTCCCCAAAATCTGGGGCGTGGAGCACGAGGCGTGTTCGACGTGATGGGAGGGCAAGGGGGTGAAGAACCCAAACCGATGATGATGACGATTCACCGAGGACGATGACATGATTAATCGTGTCGTGGTGAAGATTGAGACAGGAGGAGCACATCGCCAGCTTGATGTAATGTCCCTTCGGTTGCGAGAATAAATTTTAAAGACTCCAGCAACATTCAGGTTTCGGAGGTGCAGCATGGGTTTCATGAGGGGAGTGTTGGCTTTCGAGGATGTACCTCCGAACTGAACCCACACAAACACACACTCCGAAACTCCAGAACAGCACCCGGATGTAAGGACAGGCTGCCTTCATGCTTGCCCATTCATCATGGTAGCCGACCTCCCGAACAAGGAAGGCAGTGTGGAATTTCCCATGACCCAATGGAACCCGGCAGCCCGTCGACCGACAACCATGTTCCAACTTCCTACTATAGAAGCCTAAATAATTACCAATATTATTCCTGAGGGTTCCTTATTCTGATTATATACTTTGAAGGAGCCTAAAACCCGATTTCAAATTTTAAGGCCCCTACATTATGGCTGCCAGCTGGGTGGCGGTCCTGTGCCTTCCGATTCGGTAATCCCGAGAGGCCGGACCCAGCAGCCAAACCCCGGTCTAAGGTCGCATGGACGTGGTTTTGGGACAACACAGAGCGCATGATCAAGCGGCAAACCGCAAACATCAAAGGAGCTGAAATGGAGGGGTCGGCCGAGGGGTGTAAGAGATGGTATGTGGTTGCATGTGCATGGCTTTGGGCCGCAGTCTTGTAGAATTTCTGTTCATGGTGTAGGTTTTCTTTCTTGCTTCACGGAGGTTGAGCCAGCTGGGTGTGTACCATTAGGGTCCGTGCTGCTACAGACACCTTCTCTTATCGTGGTTCTTATGGCTTGCTTCCTCTCATTTTCTGAAATCGCCGGATCTCGATCTCTCTCTCTCTCTCTCTCTCCTGACTCTGGTGTTGAGCATATCTTTCGTACGTTAGCGATGGACCGTTAGCGATGGTGATGGGGACGGTGATGTGTCATGTTTGTGTTGCTGCTGGTGCTTGCAGTCAGTCCGGTTGGGTCTGGATAGGGCCGTGATTGACTGAAGCATGTCAGGAGCGCGTTCTAGCGAAATCCCAACAGCACCTGAACTGAACTCAAGCATGTTGATTGCCGATGGGTTCTGGTTTGCCGGTCGATGCTCTTGCGGTCTGAGTTCTGGCCTCTGATCTCTGGCTGCGGAATGCCATGGTTTGCAGGATACCAGCGGGCGGCAGACCGGTTCATCAGGCACCTGACTGATGACGTCGTTACGCAGATGCGGAAGGATGTGTACAAGGTATTCTTCGGGCAGCTGGGTTGCAGTTGACAGCATGCAGATGCCATTGCTAGACTCGCCAGACATACGAAAACAAAAGTGGGGCCTGACATTTCGGCTGCGGGGTCCATAGAAGGAAGGCTGCGGTACAAAAGCAGTTCCTTTCCTGCAGGCTCCGAAGCTTCCGAAGCTGGGATTCTGACTTGTTTTGTTCAGATCTTGCAGTAAGAGACCCTCGCCAAGTACTCCCCTGCATTTACCTTTCGCAGGCTTGGTTGCCATGTAGTCTGTCTTGCTGGTTTCCGAAGCCAGCCTACTTCAACTTCAGTGTCTGGCTGAGGGTGGCGCCCAAAGGGCAAGACTACTTCAAGCAGTCTTCAACTCGATTGAACTTCATCGCAGACAAGGTGCCAAGCAGATTGCGAGAGTAGGGACCAGCTCTTGGGCCTCGTCCTTTCGTATCACTTTGTAATTTTTTGTAATTTCAGGATTCAAGGCAGAGACGTCATGGAAATTGTGGAAGAATCCGGAGAGCTTGCCAGCATTGCTTTTGCATCGATTGCCTCTACGACACCCCCTACGCCGCCAACGCCCAAACTGTCTGTCCAAGTGAACTGTCAACTTCAACGATTTCTCCTCTGAAGTGGGCTAGGTGCTGGAGATGTCATTGGAGATGTACAAGAGGCGCCGAGATGAAGGGCTTGTCACGGCTTGTCATCGTCACGGCAGTTTTCATGTCCGTTCCACAGTAAGCTGCTACTCTTCCTTAAACTCCGAGCCCCGCTTTTGCTTTTGGGTTCCTGCCAAAAGGCAGCGCCACAAAACAGCACTTCTTGGGAGCACTGGTCGTCTGTTCCGATGAGGATTCAATTCTCCTTACTTGCTGCACTCTTTAAAGGCTTCTTTGTATCGGACCTTTCTCAATTCCAAGCCCAAGCCATAAACTAATCTTCGCGACCAGGAACCCTAGACCAAATTCCACACCGAGACCGCTCCCAAAGCTGAAACCTAAATCCTACTCGCTGTGTGGAGCCTTGCCTGCCTGGTGCGAGTGTGAGAGTCGAAATCCTACTCGCTGAGCCCTAAACTTGACAGCCCTAACCCCAGCAGTACTTCCTGAGCGTCGCATGCTGAATTGCCAAGCCTAAAACCCTGTCACCCCTGACCCTAAATCCTTAGACCATTACGCTTTGCACCCTAAGCGCTGACACTTCCAGCATCCCTCATCCTAGACCCATGAGCCCTCACACCGAGCATCCAAAGCCTGAACCTACGAACCCTTAAGCCTTACCCTGGAACGAATCTCTGACGTCGGAGCCTCGTACCACATGGTGTTCAGGAATGTACTGCCGCGAAGAATAGAACATGACAGGGTGATGCAGTGCATGAACCTTCAACCTTAAACCTAAACCTACGAACCCCAGTCCCGTTAAGACAATGCTTTTCTTGAGGCCCCGGGGAATGGTCGAAGAGATTTCGGCTCTGGGATTGCGCCCCTCGGTCGCCAAAAGCTTTCGGTTCTCGTGTATACAGCTTTCCATTTGGTTTGGGTAATATATGCATGCATACATGCATACATACACACACATACATATACATACATATACATACATATAATGCATGCACACATGCACACATTTATACGTACATACACACACATGCCCGCAGTCGTCGAGCGCGAGTGCCAAAACTGCATACATATATACAGAAATATGGACACATATACATATACACACATCTACACATGCATACATACATATATACCTGCATATACATACATACATACATACATACATACATACATACGTACATACGTACATACGTACATACGTACATACATACATACATACATACATACATACATATACATTACATATACACACATACACATGCACATGCGCATACACATACACGTACACACACATATACATACACATACAAATACACATGCACATACACATACATACGTACATACGTACATACATACATACATACATATACATTACATATACATATACATGTACATATACGTATACACACATACATACATATACACACATACACATGAACATGCACATGCACATGCACATGCACGTACACGTACACGTACACGTACACGTACACATACACACACAGACACATACACATACACATACACATACACATGCACATACACATACACACACATACATAGGTACATACATACATGCATACATACATACATACATACATACATACATACATACATACACTGTTTGACTATATATATATATACATATGTGTACATATATATATATAGAGATTACACGAGCCTTTCTTTTAATATGTGTGTGTATCTATAACTATATGAATATACGTATAATATATAGAGAGAGAGAGAGAGAAACGGGCCGAACTCTAAGTATAAAGGCCCCCCCCAATATGAGTCTGCCATGGGCCTGAAGTAGGACCTGCAGGCTCCTGGTTCTTGAGCTTCACGTTCGGGGTCGTTGGGGTGGTAGCAATGGTGGTGGTGGTGGTGGTGGTAGTAGCAGTATTAACTACTAGTACTGGTAGTAGTGTTGGTGGTGGTGGTGGTGGTGGTAGTAATTTGTAGTAGTATTTTGTAGTAGTTTTTTTGTTGCTGTAATAGAATTCACGACCCCTGCTCCCTGAACCCTCAAGTCCAAAATGTCGTGCCTCGGGCCGGGTACCTCTTCATGTGGATCCCGAAAATGTAGATTCGTAGATCGAAGTGCGACCTCGATAGTATGACGGGTTTGCTGTGCTCTCATCGCTCGGCATATTAAGAACACCTCGGCAACCGATGTCTCCGAGTTCTGGAAATCTTTGATTATCTTTGGTTGTTGGACAATGAGGATCGTAAAGGTGATGATGGCAACGGTAATGATGACAGTTACACTTAGAAGATGTTCGCCACCACCACCAACCAGCGGAAGCTATCACCAAAGACTAGCGATGACTGTGATGGCGACGACAGATGATGGCGACGGTAGACTTTTGTTGCGGGCATGCCACACAACAATCATATCATCACATCTCCATTGTGTGGTTGTTGATATCAACACTACTCTTGCCAGGCCACGTCGGGTACGGCATTCCCACCGAGCTCTTTGCTCCATTCATAGAGGTGGGGCCTTAGGGTTTGGA